ATTATTTGAGAATTTATCTAAATTATTCCAATTATAAAATTGTGATGCAGCTTTATTCGAATTGTAATACGCTTTTTATTTCATCTTCCGACTACTTCTTCCTAGTTACGACTTAGTTGCCGCTGCAGCCGAAACTAAATTTTAAGTTGGTACTTAGCCAGAAAAGTCGAAACTAAGGCGACTATGAATAGCTTTAGTTGTGACTTAGAATAGTTTCGACTTAGTTGCGTGCTAAATATGACTATGAATACGCGCCAATGTAGTTTAAAATACACTGTTTAAAAAACTAAATTTGATTTACTTAAGGAAATATTTATGAATTTTACTGAAAAGACTTTAAATACACTCTAATTTTTTTTTGGTTATTTGCGCATAATAAGAAAGGTAACCATTTTCCTCTTTTAATGTGTGCAAATTTGCACACCGTGTAACAAAATTAAACACTGTTTTAAACCTGTTTGCTTTAACATACCGAATTTGTCGCAGAGCACAAAATAACACATAAAATGTTTAAAATAGAGTAAATGTAAGCTCCTAATGTTTATTATTTGTAGGAAATGTATTTTTAGTTTCAAAATTTTTGCAACTTTAAACATTTCATGTGTATATTTATGTGTATATTTTAAAGATCTCAAGTTCAAAATCGAATCCTGAACATCTTATACGTATGTATATTTATACAGATTCCTGTTGAAAAATAGATATTTTTCAGTAGTAGTTTTACACACACTTTTCATAGTGTACAGGTACAAATGTAACATATTAATTACTAGCTTTTATGCTTTTAAATTCATATTTTTTCATATGTGACAATGAACTCATGTGGATATCAGTTCCCCTCTTGTGGACATCGTAGAGCTTTTATTTTATAAATATGTAGGTGTATTCGCGTATTTTTCCAGCAGAAAACTGTCAGCAGCAAAATTCTAATGAATTTTTTATCTGTTCTCTCTCAAAGAGAGAAATGTTAGCAAAAGTACACAAAACGCAAAACCAGCAAAAACTTGCAAGTTTGTACTAAAAATCGAAATCTTGTTTACATGCAAAAGCATAAAACAGAAAACGTGAAGAGAATATAAATTAAAAGTTTTCCTAAAGCAATTTGCTAATCAAACATGCGTAAAAGAGTATTTGCTTTGTTCCGATACATTTGCAGTTGTAATAAGTTATTTCAAACTTAAAAATCATAATAATAAATCTACATCTAAATCTTTAATAAATTTCCTTATTTTCATAAATTTAAAACAGATGACTTTGATCAGCTCTTTTTCTTGCTGGCAAATGGCTGCTGGCAAAAATTTTT